CATCTTATCAATACACTGAGTACATAGGTTACTGTCTTTGTGAGGCCAGAATGACTCCTTACACACAGGGCAATTTGCCACACCCATCAGTTCTATTCTTTCACTCTGTGAGGCATTCTGAGAACTCCTTCACCTGCATATAGTTCTGGAGTTAGAAACCTATGGTCTACTTCMTTGAGAGGCATAAAACAGCAAGCCCTTAAAAACTTCACTCTCACGACATATTTTTTTCCCTTATGACATTTGGGCAAAAAGAAAATGACCACATTGTCTTCTCACTGTAGACTTTGTGAACCCTAAGAGCCCTTTCTGCCATAAAACTTAGGGATATTATTCATGTTCTGACTCTGATCTTGTCTGCCAGTTCTGTTTTACTCTTCATGTCTATAAAATGGCTCTGATACAACTGGCTTAACCCAGAAGATAACAAGGAATCAGACAAATAGTCTTGATTTTGAGCTATTATAAAGCTTTGGGAGGCCTCTAATGCCCAGCCACTGCCTTTAGTTTCAATCTCAAATCTGCATGACATCATTCAAGAAAATCCAGAAACTATACTTCTACTCCAGTTGGAAATATTCTGGACTTTACAAATAACTACAGGCAACAAAGGAAGACAGATGCAAAAAGAAAATATAAATACTGAAATCAGGAAGGGAGAGGGATAAAAATACAAATGTGGGAAGCACTTTCTACTTTTGGAACAAAGGATATAATGCCCATAAAGAAAACATGTATAGTAAAACTRCTGAGAGTTGGGGGAAAATCCAGGGAACTCTTGCAATATGTATATTTTATGTGTAGATTACTAATAGTGGCTATAAAAAAAAGGAAGAAAGCTTTTTAAAAATAAGTTTTTGAAAGCAAAAGGGAGGACAATGTAAACTGATTAAAACCAGGTCACCTTAATCATGCATGTGCTGAGATACAATGTAGCCATAAAAAGCTTAAAGCGCACATGTGATGTACTAAGTTGGGAATGTGTGTCTTTTCAGCTTCATATTAAAGGAACAAACAATTTACATGTTGTTACATTAGGTGAGTATGATATGTGGAGTGTCAATCCTTTCTCTTCAAATCAAATCAGGCTAAGTCAGACCAGTGATGAGGTTGGAGGGTGTGGGGAGGGTTAGGGAAGAGTAGAAAGAAAGWWAGTTTTTAAAAAAATCTCTGCCTCAGCAAAAGTTTTCATTAAAATTTTAGACAAATGATCCCTGTGTCCTTCTCTCTTGCTGCCTGGGGCTCCATGCTATTTCTATGCAAATAACAACCTCGTGGTTTATATCTTATTATTTCCACCGGAGCTGCAGCGACATGACCTGAGACGTGTAAGAGGTGGGATTGGGGGGTGGGGGGGTGAATTGGAGAGGAGACAGAAAGAGAAAGAAAGAGAGAGAGGGAGAAAGGGAGAGAGAGATGAAGTGGGTGTTCACTCAAGTGTGAAAAAATATTGTCAGGAGTGAGCGTCAAGAACAAAAAAAATTGCAGGGATAACGTGTTTATTTCAGTCCCCCCACCCCCAGCCTCCCACCCCCCCCTTTGCAAACCAGCACCTTTTAAAATTCATTGGGCATCAGGCGATCATGCACAATCCATCTGCTTTCACTTTATCATTTGCATTTCATGCCTCCTGGCTTTTGATGTGCTGATACTTTGATGCAGTCAGGAGACGCGCATTATCATTATTTCAATTTTCAAAGGGGTCAACGGGATCGGCACTTGCACACACAAGATTTTTTTTCCTACAACCTCTGTGCACTCCCCCCTTCTTATTCTTCACCTCAATGTTTAACATAAAGGATGAAGACTCAAAAAGGTGGGGGTCAAATGTTTACAGTCTGAGACCATATATAAGCTTGCATGCACTGCATACATTTCCACTTTACACAGGTACACACATACTATGAGCAAAATGGTCAAGGCTAAGAAAGGAGCCTCTACAGTATTTCAAACACACAAAGACTTTTCTCACACATGGACATTCAGGGAGGAACATAGAAAAAGAGAGGAATCTATAAGCAAGACATAGAAACAAAGAGAGAGATCAGCACTTACACAGAAAGGCATGCACTCAGAGGGACTTGCACATACAGTAAGCGAGACAGAGATACCTACAGAAAGAAAGGCAAAGAGACTACAAAGACATCAGCACATATGAAAACAGAATATGCACAAGTGGTGAGTCAGAGGAAGCAATCTGAGCATGGTAGCTCCCAAATAGTTTCCTTTTTCATACAAGGTAATAAGCAAAGGGGCTGAATGAACATTCTTAGTAAATCTGCATAAAATCAGTGTCTTCTAACAACATGACTATACTTAAGAGGTGCTGACATGAGACAGTGAAGCAGGCAAAGCAAGATTAGGTAACCTCTACTAGTGATCACTCCCTTCAGCTAAAAATGATCATGTCCTTCTGAAAATGAGCACTGTCTGGTAAGTTACAACAGCAGCTTTACTTGTCTTTCCCTTTGCAACAAGGCAAGCATCCCTGCAAGGAAGAAGGTGAATATGTTGAATTTGATCAGAAYAATTCAACCAGATTTTATGGGAAAAACAAAACAAAACCTAATACTTTTCTTTAAACCACAACTGGCAATTTTTTAGACAAAAAACAAAACCAAAAATCCCAAAACAAAACCCAACAACTTTTACTTTTTGTAATATTCCTTGTACAAAACATAGAATCTGGGTGTGTGTGGGGGGAGGGGGGACAATGAAACGATATATATTTTAGAGATTAACACTCTTTATGAAAACATCATGGAAATACAGGTGTCATTTGAAAATCCTATCCTCACAGGTAATGGTACCTAAAACTCTCTTCAACATTTATCAATATCTCATCCTAAGGAGGTATCCGAAAGAGCAACWTAAAAAAAAAATTGAGATTCTCAGCACTTTTCCTCACTGCAATAATCTTTAGTAGTGTGGCAGTTTATAATCTTCATTTCTAGTATAGTCTCCAAAAAGAGGAAGATGGCCAAGTATGCTATTGTTAGCACTACTCTGCCTTTCTTTGGAGACAAATGCAAACTCAAAGAATGAGAGTTCATATGACAGCAAAGAACAAGATGATCATATCAAACAATTCTGCTAATTTGTGACATATCCAAAATTTAATTGGACTAATGGAATTATCAACTATTCTAAATAGATATGATAGGACAGGATACTTAGTCCCTATCTTTCCTCTTGAAACTCAGGGCTTGATAAAAGTTCCTGTAAGCCTGATAAACACAATATTCAACATAATTTAGTATGTGTATAAAATCTACAAACTCAATCACCAAACCATGTGAGAGGGGACAGGGGAATGAAATTTCAACGAGGACCAACAAGCCAGGTACCATGGCACATGCCTATAATCTATAATCCCAGTTACAAAGTAGGCTGAACTGGGAGGATCATGAGTTCAAGGCCTGTCTGAAAAACCAGGACCAATACTTTGTGCTAATTTTATTAAGTACTTTTACTTATGTATTCTCATTTGAGCACTACATTACTTTTTTGATACTAGGGTCTGAACGGTAGCTTTACCACTAAGTTATATCCCTGGCCCTTCTCACTTTTTATTTTGAGACAGAGTCTCGCTAAAATGCTGAGGCTGTCCTTGAACTTTTATTCCTCCTGCCTCAGCCTTCTGAGTTGCTGGGATCACAAATCTGCTCCACCTTGCCCAGCTTCTACTACATTACTTAAAGTTATAAATTATAATTTGTCTCCTTTTGTTTTGTATAGCACTAAGGCTTGAAAGTGAGGTGCTCTACCTCTGAGCTACACCCCTAGTCCTTTTTTTTTTTGAGGCAGGGTAATACTAAGTTGCCAAGTCTGGTTTGAAACTTATGATTCTCCTGCCTTAGTCTCCTAAGAAGTTGGGATTACAAGAATGAGCCACCATACTTGGCTTTATAATACCTCTTTGACAGCTAAGAAAGAAAGTTAAGGAACTAAAAGTTTATATAAATTGCATGAGAACAACCAGCCCCTCACTATTTCATTATGCATTTTTAGCTCTCAAAAGAAAACAAGTTTTCTATGCCTACAAAGAAGTAAGAACTGCACTGTCCCTTGTATATTCAGATCATCTCAGACAATTTTCACTTTTGCAAGCAGCAGTCTCATCATCCATTTTTTTTTTTTCTGCCTTTAGAAAAGTCCCTGTGAGCTTGGTTTAAAAATACAAAGTCTTTCTTTGGAAGGAAAGATAAATGTCTACGTTATATCCTTTCCCAGCAACCCATTCACCTATCTTCCCACTCAATATTTACTGAGTACTTACTTTATATACAAGAGAACACTATAAGTGCCCTCTTTTTCTTTTTTAGAGGTTTATCGACAGATTTCTCAAACCATTAGAATTAGATATCCTAAACACCTAGCCCATTGCCTAGTCCACACTACAGACCTGAAATGGGAACAAATACAACTAGAACTAAAGATAGCTCCATGCATGAGAATAGTTCCCACATGCCTTATTCGTAGTAACATAGGTAAGAAGAAGTAAGGGGCTGTGGGCCAGAACAAAAGCATTCAATTAATTCTGTCTTTCTAGAAACAGACTAGAATGTAAGTTCTTTGGAGCAGAGGTTATATAGTTAGGCTGGAACAATGCTTGAAAGACAGTAGCTACTCAAAGTATCTGTTAAATGAAATGAATGAATGAATAAAAAGGCAAGCAAGTCAATGGGTAAGTATAATGGAGGAAGATAGGAAGATACAAACTAAGGAAGTCATAAATAGAATGACCCCTTAATAAAGATGATGATGATGATATATTTTTTGTGGTACTGCTGGGGATTGCACCCAGGGATACTCTACCACTTTCTTATTTTGAGACAGAGTCCCACTAAGTTGCTGAGACTGGCCTCAAACTTGAGCTCTTTTTGCCTCAGTCTCCTGAGTAGCTGGGATTATAGGCATGTGCTCAATCAAGGTATGGAATTTTGAATTCATGATAAGCTTCAAACTTCATATACTCCTCCCAAGCCCTAGAAACTTACTTTGTTGAGGGCACTAGCTCCTGTCAGAATTAAGTGAGAATTCTCAACCTGGATGGTTCTCTGTCCCAGCCGTACAAGATAAGCACCAATCCCAATGGCCCGGCATGTCACCTTAAAAAAGAATAAATTATGCATGTCACATATTTGTGTCCTCTCCCAAGCTTTAAGAACTAAGGAAAAGATAAAATGTGTAAAATCCACATGAACAGAAGTAAAGATTGCATTTTATGAAGTCTGTTTGACTAATAATACAAAAAAAAAAAAAAAAAACATGTTCAATCATAGAAAAGACAAAATCAATTCAATATTTCAAATATTAGAAACTTTAAGGATCATAGTATCTTGCCCATTTCAGAGACGCCTGGCATCCCCACTATAGGTATGAGCAAAAAAAGTACTATGAAGAGAAGAAATTTAAGTTGTTAAAAGTCTAATAGGATATTTAGAGAAATAAGAACTTAAAGTAAAGGCTAAAATAAACCTAGGTTTACTTGGGAAATAATTTATATTATTTCATTAATTCACATTATCCTAAGTTCCCATTAGTTTGCATAATTAAAATAACATTTGCAAGCAATGCTTTTATCTGGGACTGAATAGTAGTAATGGGGCACAAATAACCTAACTACACAGTGAGTTTTGTCTATCATTCTGGAGGCCCTGAGTTCAAGTCCCAGCACCATAAATAAATAAATAAACTGATTAATTAATTTACATTCTATGAGGATTTACCAGGCTGATGGTGATGATCTCATCGTAGGCCAATGAGGATTCTCCAGCAATCATTCCAGATCCTCGAAGGTTCTCTGCTCCAAGTCCCTCTTCTTTCCCAATAATATCTGTTATCTTATACCTAGTAGATAAGAGTCATGCCAAAGTATTAAGGTTAAACATAGTAACACAACCTATTAAACAAATATTACCATTAAAAGGCTGCTAAAAGCATATTGAAAATTTATATTTAACATAAGACCTTTATACACTTTCTTTTATATCCTTCATATGTTTTTCCTTCTTAGCTTCGTTCTTATTGGAAGCAGTATGGTAGAATATAAAACACAAAATCTGGAATTAAGCAGATAGGTACAAATTCTTGCTCTGATAGAGTGGTATGCCTCAGGATAATAGTAACTTCTGTAAAATGGGGACAGTAGTACCTATCTCTAAGGGTTGACAACAAGAAAAGGGCTTGACACATGGTGATAATCTCATTAAAGGCCAATGATGACCCTCCAATCATTCCAGAACCTTAAAGGTTCACTGCTGAAAGAACATTCAAAAGCTACAAGATGGCCCTCAGATTTTAAAGCCCTTTCTTTCTTTAAAGCAGGGTCAATGTATATCTCTAACTGTCCTCAAATCAACAGTTTTACATAAGAATTAAAAAATTAAGCCAGGCATGTTAGCACATGCCTATTATCCCAGCAACTCTGGAGGCTGAGGCAGGAGTATCACAAGTTCAAGACCAGTCTGGGCTACTTAGTGAGACCCTATCTCAAAATTAAAAAAAAAAAAAAAAAAGAACGAAAAGGGGCTGGGATATAGCTCAGTAGAGTACCCTTGGGTTCAATCCCCAGTACCACCACCACAAAAAAAAAAAAAAAAAAAAAAAAAAAAAAATCCAAATAGAGGGGTATGAGAACGCTTGAGCTAGTTTCTCAAATCAAAACTCCTTTTCTTTTCCAAGATAGGGATGCAAGGGAAGACCAAAACAGCATACTCCCATTCCTGCTCATTCTCAAAAACCAAGTGCATACATAAGAGTTCCTGGCTATAGTTCTCCAGGGGGGAAGGCGGAATACAAGTAGAAGTGAAATGCTGACCYAGTTGTCCAGAAAACATCCTATGGATCTACTGGGAGTACTCATCTGTCTTTCTTCCTGGTAGGGGATTAGGAGTGATACTTAATAATGGGAAATGCAACTAATAAAGGAAAGGAAAAATACAAAGTTGGAAGTAGAGATGGGCATATGTTATTTACTATTCCACATCTATCCAGAGGCTTGGCAAAATTTTTAAAATTGAAATAATAAATAAATATTCCATAGTGATTCTTAAACTCCTTTCCCCCATTGCCATATTCCTCTGTTCTTTTTTCTGTCTGCCCTCCATCAATTCTCTTCCTTTGCTCTTGCTGTTCATCTATGATGCTGTAGCTCTGCTTTCCAGATTTCTCTAGTTTTTTATTTTTAGCTTCTCCTATTTCAGTAATTCCCCAATTCTTCCTTTTGTTCTTTATCTAGACCTTAGATTCTAGGGTTATATAACAGATGAAGCTAATCTTCCTTAAGAGGCCAATGAACCACATTAATTTGAGGAAGGGGTAATACATTCTTTTTTAAGGTCCACATGCAACACAGTCATCAAGTACTCATGGGCCCAGTCAGCCTTTCCTGTGAAGCATATCCTCTCATAAGGGCTGCATATTGCTTCACAAGTATTCATGATATGATAAGTAGCATCTTCTTCTACTACATTATGAGAAAAAAAGAATATACACTTCCCAGTTTCTGCTCTCTGACCTGAGTCTTCTACCATCGAGGGCTACCATTCTTTAAAGTATTACTAAGTTTTAATGTTACAATAAAAAACTTTGTATAGTGTTTTATAATTAACAAAACATTCATATGATTTTTGATCCTCACAACASTCCAGTGTGACAGGTAATATCACTGCCATTATTACAGATAATRATGATGATGATGATGATAATAATAACAACAATAACAACAACCCACAATAATAATAACAACAACAACAACCCACCACTAACACCACCACCAGGATTTTTGATTGATTACTATATGCTCAGCACTGAGCTAAGGGCCTTAGTTTACCTGATCTTCCTTTTTCAGATGAGGAACCCCAGAATAAAGTAATGACTTGTCTTGTAACAAAAGCAATGTACAAAACAAACAGCTTTCATTAGGCATGGAGGCGCATACCTATAATCCCAGTGGCTTGGGAGGCTGAGGCAGGAGGATCACAAGCTCAAAGGCCAGCCTCAGCAATTTAGTGACACCCTAAGCAACTCAGTGAGACTCTGTCTCTAAATAAAATACAACAACAAAAAAGGGCTGKGGATGTGGCTCAGTGGTTAAGTGCCCCTAGGTTYAATCCCTGGCACCAAAATAAACAAACAAACAAAYAAATAAATAAATAAATAAAATAAACATGAAGAAACTGGCCACACTGTGTCCCAAGACGGCCAAGGCACCATAGTGAACCTCTAGGGGCACTGAAGAATATTTTCAATTTGAGAGAAACATGTGATATTTGTCAGATCCCACATGAATAACTAGCTTTAGGTTGTTTGCGATTTAACACCAAATAGTGCTATATTTCTTTTGACAATGTCCTATCTTTACAAAGCCAGGTTTTTGCAGTTTCTGTGGAAAAAGCARGCTCTATACAAAAGTCAATGAAGAAAAGTGAGTGGCTATAGCTAAGCTGACTCTAAGGTTTGAGATATTATACAGACACAAATATCCCATAGTAAGTAAATGGTTTAAAAATGAAGTAATTTTTTCAATTCATATGTATTATTTTATTCAAATTATTATTAAGTTGTTAGGACAGGAACACTTATGAAGTTGTTAGGGTTTAACTAGAAATATTTATTTAACAGAAATATTATATGTATCTTTTAGATTAGGAGTGATGTGAAAAAATTACTGAGATGCGAAGGGTGCCATGAACCAAGAAAGTTTGGGAACTTCTGTAATAAATTATATGAAAACTATAAACCTTTTGAAAATACACTTGGATAAATGAAAAAAATATACCATGCTTCTTTTTTGGTTAGAGTTAATACTGAGGATGTCAGCCTTCACAAATTAGTGTGTGGACCTAATGCAATCTGAATTAAAATCATTGAAAGATTTGAGGAATTAAAAAAATAATAAAGAAGGAAAAGAGGATTAGGTGTGTAGTTCAGTGGTGGACCAGTGCTTGCCTCTTGTTCATGAGGTACTAGGTTCAATCCCCAGCAAAAAACACACACACACACACACACACACACACACACACGAGCCTACATTTAAAAGGCAAAAACAGATAATATGATTTGAGATTTGAGTGAGGAAATATGTGCCACTAGAATAGTTAAAACAGTATGGCATTAACCCAAGAGTAGACAGAACAAAAAATTAGAACACATGAATTATTCAATAAATAGTATTGGAGCAATTAACATTCTAGAAAATACTTGCAGAGAGATTATAAAAATGTTCAGCTTCACTGGTAATCAAAACTACAAGTTAAAATAACAATTGCTGTTTTTATCCTACTTTATTAATTGACAGTAATCAATGTTGGCAAGGGCAGAGAAAAATTAAAAGAGAGGAAACAAGCACTATCACATACTGCTGATTAGGAATTCAGATCTTGGGAGGGCAATCGGAGATTATTTTTAAAAACCCTTAAAGATGGAGATTTTTTATTTTATTTTTTTTAATGTACTAGGGATTAAACCCAGGACCTTGAACATGCTGCTAGGCAAGCACTCTGCCCACAAAGCTACATCCCTATCTCCAAAATGGACTTTTTGACCAGTAATTCCATTTCTAGAAATTAATCCAAAAAGAACAATTGGAGATATTCCTAAATTAATATTAAAAAATGTTCAGCCAAAGGATATAATAGTGAAAAATTAGAAATAGCTTGAATTTTCAAATATGATTTGTTCATTGTGATGAAATACTATGCAACCATGAAATTTCATATTTTCAAATAATATTTTAAGAATGTAAGAAATTTCCCCCAAAAAACTTTTTAGTGAAAAGAATTTAAAAGAAACTCCTATTAAAATCCCAATTACATAGAAAAAAAGGTAGAGATGTAAAATGACAGTTAAAATATAACAAATTCAAAGTTGTGGTCTCAGGGTATGATTGTGTCTACTTTTCATTTTTTGTCTTCCTGTTTCCATGTTTCAATTTTTTAAAATGAATAAGTATTGTAAATAACATTTTCAAACCTCAAACAATAACAATGTCTGTCAGCTAGTAAGTGGTAGAGCCAGGATTCAAACCTAAGGCATCTAAGTTGTTTAAAAGGTATTTTTCAGKACTGGGGTTGTAGCTCAGGGGTATAGCGCTTGCCTAGCCTGTGTGAGACACTGGGTTCACAACATATAAATAAAATAAAGGCCTGTTAACAACTAAAAAAAAAGCACTATTCAGTGCTCAGTGCTCTCCAAGGTCACGATTACCAGCACAATAAGGAAAAATTATCATATTCTCCTTTCTTTAGTCATGACCAAATTATTCTGATTCATAAATACCTACCTGGATTCTCCTTCATCCTCCACATGTTCACAATGGACAGAGTTGAGAGCACTGACTCTCTTATAATCTTGAGGGGTCAGATATAAATACTTGTATCCCTGTAAAGCACAAGTAGTTTTAAACTCATTATTTGCCACTGTGACACAACCAGAAGATACAGCAAAGTGTGCACAATAAGCTTGTTCCAAAGGTAACTTTGAATTGCTACGTCACTTCTTGGAGTTACTGTCTGATTTGATGCCAGCCATAGATGGTTCTTTGAAAGACGAAAGTGCCTATTTTTTTTATTCACTGTCCTGAAACAAGATACTCCCTTACTGCAACTCCATGTATATTTTATTTTCAACAGGCTAATGGGTAATTTTTGGATCTTCAGTGATAYCTTTATTAAAGATATCAATATAAAATTAAAGAATTATGCGAATTATTATTCTTCACTCTCTCAACTCCATGGTATCATCAAAATATATATGAGATCACAGATCYAAGAGATTCAGAATTAAAATCAGAAGCTTATGTGGTACTAATGGTGAACACTGAACACATGCCTCCTGCTTTTTTCAATAACTCCAAATTCCTATTTACATTTAAAAATTAACATTTTATAAAAAAATTAACATTTTATAATTGATTTATTTGTATACATACATATATACACTCACATACAAAGTAGAGACGTGGCATGTGTTTAACATGCCATGTGTGTACAATTCAGTAGTTTTTAGTATATTCATACATTATGCAACCATCACCATAATTTTCAGAACACTTTCACCACCACCACCCCCAAAACCCATAACTGTTGGTGGTCACTACCAATTTCCCTACATTCTTAAAACAAATTTAATTGAACTATATTTTTTAAGCAATAAAATCTGTCAACTGTTCCACAATCAAAATACAGAATACTTTCATTATTCTCTGAAACAGTTTCACAGGTAAAGATATGAAAGGCAGCAAAGGAAACTGAAAGAGGAGGTAGGAAGGTAGAAAGACAAAAAGAGGACTCGGGGATACTGGAAGCAGAGAAGAAAGTATTTCAAGAATGAAAGAGTAACCAACTGTGTCACATRCTGCTGAATCATCAAATAACTAAGATGAGGACAACGAATTCACTGAAGAATTCAGCAATATGCAATCACAGGTGACCTTGATAAAAGCAACTACAGTAGAATGGTGAGGGGCAACGGTCACTAAAGAGGGAACAAGAGAAGAGTATATGGAAAACTCTTAAAAAGTGCTGCTCTAAAGGGAAGGAGAAAATGAAGTAGGGATAGTCAGTGGAGGGATAAGTATCTGTATGCYAAAGGGGTAGATCCAGTAGAGAGGGAAAGTGGGGATGTAGGGGAGAGGCACAAGACRTGCTGATTAACATCCTTAAGTTGGCAAGAAGGGACATCAAGTGTACAAGAAGGAAGGTCCTAGATTAGAGCGGGGATTTTTCTTTTTCTTGTTCAATCCTCAGTACCAGGAAGAAGAAAAAAAAAGGAATGAAAGGAGGATAAAGAACAGAAAAAAAGGTGGTAGGTCCTGGTGGGTTTAAAGGATTGTTGGACTCAAGAGAACTAGAGAAAGTGAGTTGGAAAGAAAGAATGAGGGTGAAAACAAAGTGATGCTTGAAACTGAAATTATGGGGAATGAGAGGCTGAACTAGGGTGGAGGAGAGGAACCAGAGAAGGAGAGAAACTCTAGGATCCAAGAAGCCTGATTATAGGAAGGATTGTCTATGTAGATAGAGCAATCACCAAGAATTATCACATGACTAAGAGTACTGGAGAAAGCAACAATAAGCCAGGAACTAAAACATATAAAGAATGAGAGGCTGTGATCAAAGGGTGGAAAAACACTGTAATAAGGAGTAGTGATAGTAGGGCATAGTCTGATGACATGAGACTCAAAATGGAGAGTTTTCCTGGAAAAAGGAGAATAAAAGGACTCAAAGTAGCAATGAGGATCAAAGAAGACAGTATTCCCCCTCCAGGCTCAGTAGCAGAGTAGAGAGAAATCAGTCAGTACTTAAGAAGGTTATAGGGGAAGTGGTATCTTTAGAAAAGAAATAGGTTTCAAGTAGGACCAGGGAGGTTAGAGAAGAAGCTGAAGGTATAATGAATTTTGTTCATGACTGGCTMTAAGTCCTAAAAACCACAGTGGAATAGTTTTAAGATGTATGTTTTGGGTTTGGCATGTCTCATGCTAAATGCATTCCAATYATCTCATCTAATGTTCAAGCAACAGCAATCTGTTTTAAAGCTGAAGGAAAAACCAGGTGAGCATACTAAAAACACAGTTAGACAYAACGTCCTAATATGGTATCTTAAGGAATTTTGATCAGTAATTTTGTTTATATTTAATTATCATCATAAGTGCAGACTTTCAAATTTAAACCATTTCCTTTCCCCTACCCCTCACATGTACAAACACATGTGCATAACAATACAGTATTTTGAAATATTATCTCTTCTTAGTCCGTACCTTATAAGGATCCTCAGGGTCTACCCAGGCCACATGAAACATATGACGAATTTCTTCTGCCAGTCCAATTCTTGCTCCACTATTGGCTGCTACAAAGATGCGTGGGATACCCTCTGCCCTGGCAAGTTCAGAAGCTCTTAGAAATAGCAAGTCCTCCTGGGGCCCAAAGGACCCAATTCGGTATGTAATGTCATTGCCAATAACAATAATATCCCTGCCTTCTGGATATTCAGGACTTTTAAGGCTCATTTTCCAAGCTACCATGCCAATCTGCAAAGATATAAACAAATGAATAAACACAAGCTTCTTACATGCAGAATTTTTTCTCAGGTTCCTTGAAGGTATGACAGTATACCTAGGACTCATCATTCATGTAAAAATAGGCAGTRCTAAAGAGCCAAACTCCCTGTTGAAAGCCAGAAAAAAAAAAAAAATTTTTTTTAAAATCCTCCAGTATACTACTCCCTATAGACTTTGCTAAGAATGGGTGGTTTACAATTTATTCCAAAGTGGTCTCAATTCCTTCTTTGGTCCTACTCAAAGATAGAAAAAAACAAAGTCTACCTACACTCAAGATACGTRTAGAAGAATGCCTTGACAGTGGTAATTAAATCCAGAATTCCCATTTTACTAACTTGTATACTGAGCCATTGTTTCTAGTTTTAGTGAGATTCATTCCAAGAAACCTTTAACTCATAAGGGAGCAGAAGGAGAATCACCTCTCATGGACTGTACAACTTTGGTGTCCTTTTACTGTCCTCTACCATTTGACAGGAATAGAAACATTCCTTATTGGCTTATTCCAGGTAGGCACCATTCCTGCAACAATTTACTGTGACTCAGCAATGTATTCTTAAGAGCAATTCTTGTTGCTTTTTTCCAATATCAGAAAACTAAAGGATGCACAGAACTAATCTCTTGCTATACTATGATACATGTAAATCTCTGTTCTGTTTAGTAGCATCTGATCACCACACAATAAGTGATGATGGCTTAAAAGGCAGAGTGACATGACTCTTCCCAAACCCTCACCACCCTCTCCTTTTTCAATCCCTTCCTATGTGAGAACTAGTYAATCCTTCTACTTGTTATCTGCTAGTTCCGTTTCTTTTCTATTCACTTACAATCCAGTTACAGCTGCTGTTTTTCATGTCTGCCTGTCTTTTTCCCATATACCTGGATAAATAATGCTTTTCATGCCCCCCTTTCTAGCTCATGCTTCCCTCCCTGCCCCCACCACTCACCTCCCAAAACAAAGCCAACCAGATGAGTATTCCTGGTCCTGCCTAATGGAGCCCAGCCACATCTGCAGCCTTGGTCCCTCATCCCCAGGCTGCTGCATATCACCTCATTGGGGAGCTGGCCATCAAGAAGGGCCATTAACAGATGTAAATAGCAGCATCCCTAGAAAGCCACATGCATCACCCAGACTCAACCGGGCCAGTGATCATAAGCTCTGAGTACACATTTCTCAATCCAATTGCACATCCACTGTAATCAGGCTGGTTGAAGCTTTCCACACAGCTATTTGTGATTCTCAGCATTAAGAAATATATATGTGAAACACCCACAGATAAATATAAGCTATTTAATATATCATACCATTGGCCAAACACAAATCAAAATGGATATAATACACCGGAAAAAATCCAATCGCCTTCTGAGATATTACTCTATCTGCTCATTAAAGACAGATAGGGAAGGAGAAACACATCACCCAAAAGATAGCACAGAGAAACCCCAAATATCAGGATAATTTTGGCTGTGGTTCTTAAGAAGATAGTTAATACAATGACTGTATGGGGAGGAATATTTTCTCTGCTTTCTACGTGTGCTGCTTTAGCCCAACCACTCTTTTGTTTTTCAAGAAAGAAAAGCTATTTTCTGTCTATTTTCCTCTAAATGCATTTGTAGTTAGGAAGATTGGGTTTTACACCAAATTTTGTGATAYATTACCCTTAGCCACCTAGGCCAGAAGCAGCTTAGATGCAAGCCCTGACGAATCTACTTCAGCATTTGCGTGCTAATGTAAATACTGTGACAATGTGGCACTGGGCAGGCAAATAATACTCTTATCTTTCGTTATTATCTGGGGACTCTAACTGTGTCACTTGGGCAGTCAGTTCAGCAATTGGCCAGGTCATTATGCTTACAATATTGACTTCTAATTAGGTGTCAACACAGCAGCACCAAGAACACACTATTCTTTATCAATGTCTTTCTGAAGTGTGTTCTTTATCCCATCCCCCTGCCCCCACTGCCTTAAAAAGCACTATTATAGAATGGATACTATTATCCCAATCTTTGTACAGCAAGATTCCTTACTAGAAGGGATTTAATTTTGAGCCAGCATAACGGATAAACATCTAAGAAAGTATCTGTTGTTCAATTTACATTAAAATTTGGATTTCACTGCTAATCGAACAGTAAGGCATATAATGATGAATATGGGCTTTGGAGTCAACCAAACTTAGATCTAAATCTAGGCTCCATTGCTTATTAACTCTGACACCTGGGAACATTATTTAACTTTTATTGAACTTCAATGTCCTCAGATGCAAAGTAAAGGAAATAATACCCATGGGTTTGATAAACAAACTATCAGAAACAGAATTCTATTATATTAACTTTAACATAAAGCTTACCCTTTTTTCTCCTCTCAACCTGTCCATATTCTTTTTTTTGTTTTTTTGAATTTTAACATTTATTTATTTTTTCTTAGTTCTCGGCGGACACAACATCTTCGTTTGTATGTGGTGCTGAGGATCGAACCCGGGCCCACGCATGCTAGGCGAGCGCGATACCGCTTGAGCCACATCCCCAGCCCAACCTGTCCATATTCTATCTAATCCAAAAAGTTGGTTCAAATCCCATTCCTCAGTAAAGCTTCCCAAGCACAAAGTAACCTTTCTCTTTTCCAGTCTCTTAAACTAAGACCTTCATGCAGAGAACCCATTTGATAATTAATTCATATACTACCTAGGACTTCTGTTAGCTCACCATCTTGAACCATTATATCTCCTCCTCTAGTGCCTTGCAAGATCCCTGGACATAACGTGGGAGTAATGAACACTGCATCTATGACTGATATCTGGAGATATAGATCACAGTCCTAAATATCATTAAACTTTTTTCTTTACTAGCTATTATTAACTGAACATCTATTRTATGCTACACTGTACTACAAGTTGACAATACTGATAGTGGTTAAGAGTTTCAGTGGAGGAGTCAAACTGTCCGTTTTATGCTAGCTGTAAAATTTTAGTTAAGTCAATCTTTAATAGCCTCACTTTTCCCAATTATAAAATGGAGATGGTAATACCTTTCTGAAGGGACTGTTGTAACACACACCACATTAAATTATATAAAAACCCTATTATTGGGCTGGGGTTGTAGCTTAGTGGTAGAGCATTTGTCTAGCATGTGTGAGGCACTGGGTTCAATTCTCAGCACCATGTATAAATAAATGCAATAAAGGTTCATTGACAACAAAAATGTTTTTTTGTGTTTTTTTTTTTTTTAAACCCTATTTTTATTGCCGGGTGCAGTGGTGCACACCTGTAAACCCAGTGGCTCAGGAGGCCGAGGCAGGAGGATTGTGAGCTCAAAACCAGCCTCAGCAACAGCAAGGTGCTAAGCAACTCACTGAGACCCTGTCTCTAAATAAAATACAAAAAAAGGGCTGGGGATGTGGCTCAGTGGTTGAGTGCCCCTGAGTTTAATCCCCAGCACCACCACCGCAGAAAAAAAAAAACCCTATTATCTTAAAGGTAGTTGTTATTGCCATGAGGAAATTGAGGCACTGGGTAATTAAGTAACTTGTTCTTATAGCTAGTATGAGTTGCATATAATGGTGAATGTGGGCTTTGGAAACATTCCTTATTGGCTTATTCCAGGTAGGCACTGTTTCTGCAAGAATTTACTGAACTACATCCACAGAAGGAATCCCACCCCCACCTTCTTTTTGAAATAGGATCTTGCTAAGTTGCTCAGGTTGGCTGGCCTTGAACTTGCAATCTGTCTGCCATCCTYCTGCCTCAGTCTGCCAAGTAGTTGGGATTATAGGTTGTGCACACCTGTGCCTATGCCTGTGCCTGAATTGTTTATTTTTTAAAGTAAAGTTCACAGAAAAAGAAGTGATATTTCTTTACTAGTTAAGGAAATATTTTCCAGACTAGTGCTACTGCCTTTAGCTAAACACAATATGGAAGGGTGAACATCAATTATAGCACCATACAAATGTCATGATAACCACATTTTTGGAAGGAAGTAAATGGGATAGTGAGTCACTGTAGTGTTTATATAGTCTTACAAAGTGATGGCTGTGAATAACATTCTAACACATCAAAATGTAATACTAAATTAGAAGGAGGAGGACACAAAATTGCATGCAAAATTGTGAGAGGCAAAATAATCTTGTAGTTAAGAGTACAGACTCTGGAGCCAGATTCTGAGATTCTCAGTCTGAATCTAATAAAACAGAGAGTCAGTCAGTTACTAGTCATATAATCCTAGATAAGATACTAATCTTTCTGTGCTTCAGTTTCTTCAAAATGAGGTAATAACAATTTTCTATATAAGTTTGGTGTGAGGATTAAATGTATACTAAGTCCAAGAATGGCAAACGCACATAGTAAATGCACAGTATGTTTTAAAAACTTTATCTAAAAACATGCTAGTGGGTACTAGTAAAATGARATAATAGTTATTCAGATGATAAAATTGTGTATGTTTTTCATTTTCCAAACTTTCTCTAATGTGTTTATATTGCATTGATGACATCAATGTTTTTTTCCCCTCTACTAAACTACATTCCCTAATCTTTTTTTATATTTTATTCTCAGACAGAGGTCTCACTAAGTTGCTGAGGCTGACCTTGAACTTACAATCTTTCTCATTTGCTTTTTTTTTTTTTAGCTGTAGATGAACACAATACCTTCAATTATTTTATTTGATTATTTTTTTGTAGTGCCATGGATCAAACCCAGTACCTCACACATACTAGGCAAGCAGTCTACCACTGAGCCACAACTCTGCCCCCCCCATTTACTTCTTTTTTTTTTTTAAGAGAACCATTTTTCTTCAGTTGTTGATGAACCTTTATTTTATTTACTTATTCATATGTGGTACCGAGAATTGAACCTAGTGCCTCACACATACAAGGCAAGTGCTCTACAACTGAGCTACAACTCCAGCCCCCCTCTCATTTACTTTTTTTTTTTTAAGAGAGAGAGAGAGAGGGAGAGAGAGATAATTTTTTTTTTAATATT